TGTCCCTCCTGTACAGCCTATAGCCCGTGACATTCACCACTGAGCACTGAGCGCTGGGCACCAAGCCTGGCCCTGCCTGCTGCAAGTGGATCTGCCGAGCATTGAGCCCAGCCCCGTCCCCTGCAAGCAGTGCTGGGCTTGGTGCTTTGCAGATGCAACCGGGTGCAGTGCTCAGCAGTGCCGCTCACAACGGACAGGGCCAGGCTCAGTGCTTGGCTGGCTCAGCCCAGGCAGCCCTGCTTGCAGGGATGGGGCCATGCGAGCCAAGTGCCGAGCTTAGCCCTGTCCCCATCCCCATCCCCTGCAAGCATCTCCGGTCTCGGCACTCAGCGGGCATGCCCCCAACCCCTGTGAGCAACGCTGCCTAGGCCATGCCAGCTGAGCACTGAGCCTGATGCTGCTTTCAGGGCACGCTGATACGGTGTATAAGTCAAGTTTGAATTTTAAGAATTAAAAATTGGACTTTAAAACTCAACTTATACACCGTAATATTATACAGTAATATTATTTGCACAAGTTAACCCAAATGTCCTGATTATTAATCTGGTGTATTAACATCAAAACCATCCTTCTTTATCAAATTATTAAAAGACAAGTTGCCCTCCATGGGACTTGCTGCTAATTTTGGATACTCTCCACTTATATCAACAGTTATTGTCCTTTTTGTACCATAACCCTCTTTCTACCATCATGTTGATGGAAACTTGCCAGTGCATGGAGTGTCCTGAGAAACATTTTACACTGAATGAGGAATTCTCCTTCGTTCTGTAAAATCTGGGGCAAAGTTGAAAACCAGCAACTATGGTATTGAAGCAAGGAACATTTAAAAGAATTGCTTAAAAGTTGCTCTTAATTCATTTGCTTTGCCTACTTTGCAGCAACAATTGTACATTGGTTCCAGAGATGGATTGGTTCAGCTCTCATTGCACAGATGTCACACATATGGGAAGGCTTGTGCAGACTGCTGCCTGGCCAGAGACCCATACTGCGCTTGGGATGGAAACTCATGTTCCAGATATGCACCCACTTCTAAAAGGTAAGAAAATGGACAGCGTTTCTATGTAATATCCGCCCACTCATATATTTCTCATTGAAAGCAATGGGACCACTTTTGCATGTTCATAACGTGTCATTTAACTAAAATGAAGACATAACTTTGGCCGGGTATTTTATTTCTGCTGGAAGAGCTTAGAGGACACTGCAGCATTTAATCATGTGAGGTTATAATGGTGGAACTGCAACTGGTGTAACCAATTCATTGTTTTATATGCGACATTCTTTGAGATACAGATTGTAGCTGGTTTTATATAAGTGTACAAAGGGAGTTATACAGACAGCTTTGTGCACTTCTGTTCACGCACTGAAACCAAACTCATGCGGAGTTTAATGCAAGGCATAATGTGCCTGCTTTAAGCTAAATGCCCCAGAAATCATAGCCCAAGGACATCATCATTCAGTAATCACTCTATGCAGGTCAACCACTAGAGGGAGACAGGGAGCTGCGTTATGGTTATGTAAGGGCCATGTTGGCTGCTGGTGACTGCATTTGCTTCCCCAAAGAAAAAGGAGTTGGGATGTGAACTCATCCTAACCACCAGCTAGCAGAACTGAGCCAGCACAGAGGGGGTGTCTACTATATCCCTCTATAAGGCTGGCCGAATTTCTGATGTGGCGTTAGATGCCCCTCTTGGAATGCCCAAATTCTTGGAGTCACTCGTACTGGACCTCTTCCTTCTCCTTTAGATGATCCTACAGGAAACACTCACAATAAGGTCCAAGGCTGAAGTTCTTATAGACAGCTGAATGAGAATTTTTCTTGCCTAGAGATTTCAGGACTAGGGCCTAAACAATTGCACAAGCTATTGTAGTAAATGAGTCATGGGTCATTGTGTCACACGTCAAGGAACTTTATACATTTTACCTTAAGCCAAAGTAAACTAGAGCAAATTCAGAGAAACATAAAGGAGAAGAGAAAACTGTTAAGGGTCAGTAAAAAGTTAATCACCCAGGCAGCTTGTGGAGGGCAATCCTGTTCTTATTTCTGTGGACGAGGATACGGGGAATGAGGGTTCATTCATTTAAAAAGAACCTCAGATTGATGGACAGGTCAACAGCATGGACAAATTTACCTTTTAACTGCTCTAAAGTGGAGGGAGAGCTGCTACTTGGTAGCATGTGTCAGCTATTGCACCTGTATCCTCCTTGAGTGATATAAGTGAACTAAGTAGTCCTAACTTTGACCCTGTTGAAGTTGCAGTGGTTTTGCTACATTTTCCTCTCTGTCGAATCATGCAGACTTAACAGTTGCGTCGTTACCGCTTGCATCAATAGTCTTTGATATCAAGGCCAGTGTTGTGTCTGTCTATGTACCATTGTTTTGTGAGAGCAAGGCTGAAGGAGGAGGACTTGGTGAGTGGCCTTGTGCCTCCTCCTATAGGGTAGTTACTCACCACTTGTTTCCTTCAGTTCAATCTAGTTATTTGGCATGGTGTTCTTCCAGCATATCTAATCTCTTTGTATGATGGACTCATGACATCAAGAGCCTACTTATGCTTTGCACTTTTGTAAGGTTGTACTCCTATCTGAGATACTGTATGACCTTGAAGACATAGCATCCTCTCTGTGTCTCAAATTCCCAATTCTGAAAAAATAAAATAATACATGTAGCCTCTTGAGATCTGCAGCTGAAATACTGTAGAAAGCCAAGTATGATCAGCAGGATTTTAACAAAAGCTAGCCTGAGTCACAAAGAGGTAAATAATTTGTTTAAAGCTCCATAAGCATTTAAGAATAGTAAAGAAACCATGAATTTTGACTGAGGCCCTGACTCTGTTCATCTGTACATAAAGCTTCCATAGCCATACTTTCTGGCTCCTGGCTAGAACATATTAAGATTCAAAGCAAACCATAAATTTTCCCCTTTGCTCATGTTGTGGTTGATTCTTTAGTCAACAATACACAGTGTTGAACTGAGTAGGAATGTGGTCTGCTGAACCTTTTCATGTTATGGCACACTGAGTGTTTTGACCAAAGATAATCAGCCTTAAGACCTGCCATTGGATCTGACAGAGCTTGTAATGCAGATTTAGCCATTCTCTGTACCCCTAGACTGCTCTCGGCCTGTTCTAGGTAGATCTCCCTCTTCACAGTGGTTTCCTTAAATCACAGGCCTGTCTTTTTATGCCTATTTTACAAATCTCTCCTGGCCACATGCCGCTCTGAGGGCGAGGCTGGTTTTAGTTAGGGTTGTAATTGCCAGCAATAGGGTGGGAGCACTGCGGTCTCACATCTGCTGAGCTCCTCTGTAGTTTGTTGCTGAATTCCAGCAATTATGTATGAAGTGTTACAAATTTTCATGCTCTTCCCATAGGAGAGCTAGGAGGCAAGATGTCAAATATGGAGACCCAGTTGCCCAGTGTTGGGATGTGGAAGACAGTAAGTACTTGCCCTTCTCTTTGTAACAGTGCGTGATATCTGTCTGTTTGCAAACACTTGTGGAATTAGGTCTCAAGAGAGATCTGGGCAGTTAAGGCTTATGCAATTACAATCCCTAAACATTTACTCTACGTATAGCCCTTGTTCAGCAGTTAAACTCTCTGAGTCAAGAGAACTTGGAAGGAAAAAATAAAACAGACTCACTTATACATCCCACGGGAGAGAGACATCAGCAGAAATATATAGAGGGGGATATGGCTGAGGACACATGCACCTTCACCTCACCATGAGTATATGCAAGTACTGCCACTCCCTTGCAGAGTATTTGGGTAAAGAGGAAAACCAAGCAAGAAACCCCAAAGGAGGAAACAGGAAATACTCCTTCTTCCTCCCCGCCTCCCTACACGCACTTGACAGAAGTCCCAAACCTCGGCTCCAGCTGCCAAACCCTCCCGTTTCCCCCTCTCTGCAGCTACCTAAACACTCCTGTTATTAACACGGACCTACACCCACCCCTGTCGAGAAACCCCCCTCTTTTGGCTGCCGAAGTGTCTGGCTCACACTTTTGGCAAGGACAGCGGTTCACTTACAGTGTGCGCTGTCAGTACTAAATCCTGCGGTTACACTGCAATTTCTGTGGCAGCATAAAATAAATGAAAAGCATTCAAAGTGGAGTTTTGGTTTGTCTGGGGCTTTTACATTCAGTTATTAAAGGGAACCATCCAGTCAAAACACCATTTATTGTATTGTTGAGCTTCACTTTGGATTTGGTACACACCACCGCTTTTAATTGATCTCTGGTAACCAGCACCGGAAACCAGCCACCAAAGATCAGGTCAGCTTGCCCCTGGATCAGTCTGCTTCACGGTCTGTGAAGCACTGGCTAGGCATACCCACCGTGGACATCATTAAAAAGTCAGGGCAGAATCCTGGTTTCATTCAAATGAATGGCAAAGCTCCAGATGATTTCAAGGCGGTCACAATTTCATCCTTGTCTTCGACACAGTGATGGTGTTGTGTTTCCCTGGATGGGAGATGATGTACCAAAGGGATTGTTTTAACTGAACAAATCTAAGACTTCTTACAGAGTACATGAATATGGACTTGAAAGCCTTGATAAGGCAGCAAAAATAAAACAGGGCCAGCTTAAGCAACTAGCTAGGGATTATCCAGACTTGCATGGTCTTAAACTAATATCCCAGCCCCTGGCATATTAATATTATTCAGAATAAACAAAACATGCTGTTATGGTATGAGACACTGTTAAGATCAAGGCCTCAATGTTGTATGCGTTGGACCAACATAGTGTCAGAGGTGATTTGTGCTTGAAGATCTTACAGTCTGCACAAGTAAGATGGGCAAGGTTGGGAAGAGAAGGACAGACAGAGAGAGGTAGGTCACACAGCAAGTCTCTTCCCATACAGTTCAGTGCCTTATTTGGTGTATCCTTGTGTCT